AAGAAGCTGGTGGGAGATTTCTTTTGTTGCTTTTTGGGAACTCACCAGCCCTCTGAAGCCCGCCCCCATGCCACTCTCCACCAGCAGAGAAGGACTTTCCTGAGCTCACTTTCCTTATTTCCTGTGACTTTTAAATATCCCTGAGGCACCGAATCACAGGACAGTTTGAAGAAAATGCATGTGCAGTCATATAGAGGTTATTTTTCTTCATCTGGAGATGGAAATCAGCTCATTTAAGACAGTAACCTTTTCATAACCAATTATGTTTTCTTGTATAAAGAAGGGCCTTGAAATGAATGGGGAGAGCGCAGGGCTAAGTAGCAAAATTCAATTTCAGACTCTGCTAGTAACTAGCTGAGAGATTAAGGATGAGTCACTTCACTTCTCTTGGACTCAGTTTCCCCAAATGTAAAATGTGGCATTTGGGGACTAGAAGATTTCTATAATTTTTTTTCCAACTCTTCTGTTTCCATCTCACAGTCCCACATAACAACGTTGGCTCATTTGACATCTGATCCTCAAAATTCCTCTAAGTTTAAACAAGGTACTGGGAGAATTATGTGATCAAAGAAGAAGCCTCATCTCCCATCTCTACACCTTTGCCCTGGTTGTCCCTCATGCCTTATGTTTATGCCTCATGTTTCCTTCCTTGTCTCTTCTTTTTAGCATCCTTGACTTCCATAAAGACCTATCTCAATTCTCTCTTTTTACATTAAGGCTTTCCTGGTCCCCATGGTAATAGCAACTTCCCCTCTCAGGTGACCTTCCATCCATTCTTTGTATATATAGGATTTACCTAGTTATTTTATACATTGTTTTCCCCATTAGAATGGAAACTCCTTGAGGGCAGAGCTTTCTTTGTGTGCCCAGTGCTTAGAGCAGTGCTTAGCAAATCTTAAGCACTTAATAACTGCTTATTGACTGACCATCCCCACCACTACCAAAATGAAGTTTCAGTCATCTCCTGAATGATATTTACATTAGCGGCAGCCTGGCCTCGTTAATAGAGGGCTAGACTGAATAGAGTCCACGAGCACTACATTCAAATTCTGTTACTGACATTCAGTGTCTGTGAGACTCTTCCCAAATCACTTAACCTTTCTGAGACTCAATTCCTCATTTATAAAATGAGGATGCCAATATCTACCTCACGTGGTTGTCTTTTAGATCGAATCAGAACATGCAGGTAAATACCTGGTTTTGTAAACTTTAAATCACTCTACAAATCTCAGCTATCCTAACATCCCCCCTTTCATTTATGGGACAGAATTGCTAATAATGCTTACATATTTACAAAGCAGGAAATTTAAATTTACAATTTAAAATGAGAGAATTCTCATTTCCCTAGACCCTCCCATCCCCATTTCCATTAGAAACTTATGGTCAGTTTTACTCAGCAAGGCTCCTTTCCTAGCAAGCTGACAAGCTGAGAAACTGGTGACAGCAGCCTTAAGCATCCCGCAGTGTGCCTCGGAGCTGCTGGGAGTCTCTAATTTAGCTGATGCTCGCTTTAGTGCACTAATGACTGTCGTTAGGGCACAGGGGAATGAAATCATCCTCCCAAAGGGCCGTGCGCCCCACTGGCAGAGCATGCCTCACTCACCCTCCGGGAGAATCGGATTTGCTAAGACTCCAGGGAGAGCAAAGGGATTTAGCAAAGCCATTTGCAGCAAGCTGAGGATGCCAGTGTTGGAAGAACCCATCTTCCATCTTCCCAGCTCCTCCAGCGAGCAGTGGTCTCTCGCTCCTTAGACATCCTCAGACGCCTTTGCATGCCTCTCTTCATTCTCCCTCCTCTCCTCTTGTTGCATTGACTTGTGTGAATGTCCTCCTCAGGAGAATATGAGCTCCTTGAGACCAGGGACTGTGCCCTCAAAAGAATATTCCCTCTAAAATCCACTTGTGTGCAAAATCAGTGTTGGAGAATAAAGGAGTGGGCCTTTTGACATGGTCCTAGCACCCTCACTGCCCAAATGAGCTTGTATAGATTTTGTGTATTTTATGTGTGGATATGTGTTTGTGCACATATCAGCCTGATAAAATGTAAGTTCCCTTGGAGGGAGCATTACTTTTGTTTTTGTAGCCATCCCTAGATTTAGCACAGGGCCTGGCATACAGTAAGTGCTTAATAAATATCTGATGACAGATTGACCTAGCATAGAGGAAGGAATCCAGGATCATTCTTCCACCTAACTAATTCTATTGAATCTACAATCCTGCTTATCATTACCAACAATGATAGCAGCAAACATTTATTAAGCACTTAATGTGTGCCACTTTACCCTGCTGCATTCTAGGGATACAAAGAAAGGTGAAATGCCCTACCAATCTTACCTCCTTCCTAGGAACAGCACACTAAGTAGCTGGGGGACCTAAGCCAATTCATTTCACCTCTCTAGTTTTCTCATCTGTAAAATGGGACCATAACGGAGTAGTATCTATACAGGAAGCAGATCATAGCAGTTAGGGCTTGGAGCCAGGAAGACCCAAGCTCAAAGACTACTCTGATCCTTATAGCTGTGGATCCTGAGTAACCTCTTAGTGCCTAAAGAAACTTAGCTATTAAGTTGTAGACGAGGGTTACAATCTGTGCTAGGGTAAGGGTATTCTCACACTAGGAGTATGCCACATTGTTGAAATCTGGGTTCCTAATGTGAACGTGATACTCTCTCATATGATCATGATATGGATTAAATGAGAGTAAATACAGTGCTCTGCAAACCTTAAAAATACTTATATCTAAACATAAAATAGACTATAATTATATGCATATATAGTTATGTCTGTAACAGGTCTGTATCTGAAATATACAATCATTATAGAGATGCAAACATATATCCATATCTATTTATGAAATGTATTACTGTACTGTATAAATATGTATTCAACTTATATCTGAAATACACTAATTTTTATATATGTATGATGTGTGTGTGTGTGTATATATGTATCTATATGTGTGTGTGTGTGTGTGTGTGTTTGTGGGTGTGTATGTGGATAGTGTCCCAAAGATCAGTTTGGTTTAAGCTTTAATAACTTCAGAATTATAAATGCTGCAAACTTACAAAAAATTCTTTAAAACTTTATTTAAATGTACTTTACATTTTTTTTGTGAATTTTGCATAATCAGCCTGCCATTATGAATTCCACTTGCAATGGTTTCTGGAAGACACTGTCAGATCAGCAGATAAGGAGAGGAAGTTCTTTTATTTGATACGTTGGTCTTCTGAGTATCTCCCCTGGATTTTTTCTTGTGCATTCTCATCAAAACCAACACCCATGCATCCATACCCCTTCTTTGGGTTTTTCTAAGGCTGAGCCTACAAATGAAAGTTTTTCAGTCACTGAATTTCAACTGATGAAAATTTTTACAAAGTTAAACTATCAGCTTATGCAATATATAGCAGAAGATGATGATTATGTTGAACTTTTATAAGAAATATGTATTTTTTAAGATTTTAATAATTAGTCTTTCAAATGTTATTTTTCAAAAGTTTGTAGTTATTAAAGATTAAAACTTCACTAAGACATATATACATACATATGTGTGTCTATGTATATTTATAACATACACATACATTCTTTACAAGAGACAGCATGACATCTTGTATAAAAAGTTGACCTTGGAAGCAAACACACTTGACTCCTAGCCCCACTAGACACCTCTGGGCTGTGTGACCTTGGGCCAGGTACATCCCCTCTCAATGTTCAGACACTCTAAGCTGCAGAGCATTTGCCTCCTTGCTGTGAGATAAACACTCCCTCAGAATTGCTTTTACTCCTGTGAAGTGGCGATCAAGCCAGGAGGTGTCTGTCTGTGGCCACCCGTAGAAGGTTCTTAAAAACTGTTTTACTGGGTCACACACCCAGCTATGATCCTGCCAGTCAAAATCATTTAAAAACCTAAGTTTTATCTAATAATAAAACGTGATTTCCCAACATCTTATTCACACAGTGGTCACTTTCTAAGGATTCCTTTTCACATGCAAATACATTTAACTGCAGATAAGCTTTCCTTAGCCTAATACTTCTTAGGAAGATTTAAAAGCACATTTTGCTTCTAAGAAACTACCTCACAGGATCCTTATGGAAATGCAATGTGAGAGAATGTTTTGCAAACCTTAAAGATATCTGTATCTATATCTGAAATGTACTGTTATGTATCTATCTACCTACCTGTCTGTCTATCTATCTATATACACACATACATATATACATGCACATATATATCTAAAATGTACTATTTTTCCATATTTATATGTAAACCTAATGTGTATCTGAAATACTCTATTGATAAAAGCATATATATTTATGCTTAAGTATATTATATACATATATAATGTAAACATATATGACTAGTTCATATGTACACACATGCCTATTAGCTGATCTGTATTCATATATAAACTATATTAGGGGCAGGTGGTGGCATAGAAGATAGATCATTGGGGTTGGAGTCAGGAAACCTGAGTTCAAGTGTAACCTCAACATGTCCCAGCTGTGTAACCCTGGGAAGGCCCCTTCAGTCTGCTCGCCAGTAAAATGAAGGTAACAATAGCAGCTGCCTTCTAGGGTTGTCATGAGCATCACACGGGATAAGAAGTATTTCACACATTGCCTGGCACATAGTGAGCACTATATAAATGTTAGCTATCGCTATTATTCTATACATTATATATATACACACATATGTATATATTAATCTGTATCTGAAATATACTATTATGTGATACATACGTACACATAGATCCATATTTTATATAAAACATACTCTTCTGTACATTTATAAGCTACATGTGCATACACATATATAGATCTATATCTTTATGTGAAATATACTATTATTTACATCTATACAAGAGGCAGTGTGGCCTTGTGGCTAAGCCAGGAAATCCTTCCTCCAATAGATATTGGCCATTTGAGCCTGGATAAGACCCCCAACCTCTCAGTGGCCCCAGGCAGCCCTCAAAGTCACATGTCACCAAGGGGTGCTTGCCTGTATTGGTGGAGGTCGTTGCTTCACCTGGGATTTCCTTCTGCCAAGGAGATTCCTGATCCCAATCTCCAACTCTACACAGATACACTTCTCCTCCTAGGGCTTGTTTCCTGATCCTTGTCATTTTTGTTTCTTCAGCTCATTCAAGCACTTGATCGGAGGCTTGGACGATGTTTCTAACAAGGCCTATGAAGATGCAGAGGCCAAAGCAAAGTAAGTTAGCATTCATCTCGATTTCATTTAACATTGGCGGGCAATCACAAGACATTAAGAATGTAATTTATCGAAATTATAAAAAAACAGCATTTCTGACAGAGAGGAGTAAATTATGGGAATAATCCTCCTGAGCACCATAGGGAGTCGTGAAGAAGAAAAAAGCAATACATAGGCTACGGTAAATATTAGTCACTGTGATGGATAAATTAGTGAGGGCCTCACTCCATGAACAGGAGCTATATATATTGATGTGTTGGTGGGTAAAATATATATATATATATATATATATATATATATATTAATAAAAACATATATACACATATATGTATGTATGTATGTTTGTATATATATATTTATCAGGAAGGGGAAATGATTGATCTACAATCTATTATAAATAATACAAAGCAAATTTAATAAATTACTTCAACCCATGAAAATTATTTTCAGAAATTATGATGTGTGAGATAGTAAATTATTCTATAAGAATTTGTAACTTCTAGAGAAAATCTTTCCTTCCACAAGAGGATTCTTAAGGTCCTTATTTTAAATGGTGCCATCATGAGTACATTTTTAGCAATTCCCAGAATGAATGGTATGAGGTACGTGAATGCCCACATTTCATTAGGTAAATAGAGACATATGTACATGGATTGAGACATAGGTACATAGATAGAGATAGAAAAGAAGAGATAGGGAGATGAGAGATAAAAGAAAGAGATACAGAGAGAGAGAGAAAAATACATTGATAGATACATAGAAAATAGAGACAAAGAGACAGAGATAGATGATTGATAGATACAAACATAGATGCATATACATACAGTCAAAATGGATTTCATCTAGCCTGCCTAAACTCTTATGGGTAATTTGTTTAAGATCAAAACCTACCACATTTTCCTAACCTAACAAAAACTTGATTTGACTTGAAGTAATTTGGCTTTTTGTAAAAGAAAATCATCTTTTTCTTTAATGCTAAGGTTTGGATTCTCTGAAAGACCTGCACAAGACTCTTGGTTGTGTGATTTTAAACAGACATGACAAAACCCAACAAACCTGTCATCCCAGTCAAAACCTCCATCCCTTCATTCAACTCAGGCATTGGATGTCATGTAACCCAAATATCTGGAAGATTGACTGAGTTTTAAAAACTGACTCTACAATCTTTTCACTAGCCTGTATATAAGCCTTAGTTCAAAGCCAGAATTATTTTTGGTTAGGGAATGGTAGAGTTTCATTTGCCCCAAGAATCTATGACACATGGAAGTACATTCTAGAAGAAAAAATGAGTAAAATTGCTGTTGATTAGGCAGGAGTTAATCAGTTTTTAAGAGGCAGTATCATATGTGCATAGGCATGTATGCACCCACAAAGACTCAATTTTTGTTTGTGAACATGCTTCTTGGGAAAGATACTTAAAAAAACATTTTATATTTGAACAAGCAAGAGTACTGAGTGATGGGAATAAGGCCATTGTCACCTCTATAAGTGAGTCAGAATTTATTCAGTAAAATATATTGGATGATTTTGAAACCAAATTCTACAAATTTGTTGATATCACTATCTTGGTTTCACTTGGGGCTTAAGAACATTGGAAGAGATTACTAGGAAATAATTGTTCAGGCTGTAAAAAAAATCCAAAAGGGAATTGTCAAAATCATATTATGGGCACTTTTTAAAATTACCTCCTTACATTAGAACCTAATATGAGAGAGTGCCTGAATCTGTGTGGAGGACACTGATGACAAACATCACATAATGATGGTTTTCTTTCCCCAACTTTATCCATTTTAATTTGAGGATGACTTTAGTCCATTTTATCTTTTTTTCAATCTTTTTTTTTTACTGACTTTGTCTTTTCTTGCTGTCCTGTATGAAAATTAGACTTCCCAGTGGATTTCACTTTAATTTCTGGTAGAAAACACTGGCTTAAGGCTTTGTGACTATCTTCATTCTAGTAACCCTTCTGTGTATTGCTATATATACCATTTTGCTCTGCTGGCTACAAGGCAGAGAATCTAAAAGAGGCAGCTAAGGGGCTTCAGTGGATACAGAGCCCTGGGTCAGGAAGGCCTGATTTCAAATTCAGCCTTAGACACCTACTAGCAGTGTGAGCTGAGACAAATCATTAAGCCTGTGTCAGTTTCCTCATCTCTATAATGGGTATAATAATAGCACCTTCTTCCCAGGGTTGTTTTGAGGATAAAATGAGACAATATTTTAAAGTACTTTATAAACCTTAAAATACTACATATATGCTAGAAATTTTTTATTTTTATTTTTTTGATATAAATATGCAAAGATGTTTTAAAACTAGCATATTATTTTTTCCTACTCTGTTCTACTTTTTTTTCCTTCTTCAACCTTGCAAAGAGACTTCATATTTTCTTGTAAGTTGAAATATCTGTACTAGCAGCTCTACTGATCTTTCTTTTTAATCAGAACACTTTTGAAACTGGAAATAATGTAGGCACCATAGAAGAAAAAACAAAACAGATGTGTTCTTCTACTGCTTCTATGATATATGATGGCTGTGATGTAATAGATAGAGTTATGGGCTTGGAGCTGGAGAGATCTCCCCTGATGTGTGACATTTAAAAAGGTTTGAGAGACATAATTTCTGGTTAATTTAATCATATTATTAATAAGGCTAGCATGTTATTAGTTAAAGGATGGTCACTTATCCATCTCTGTCTTAGACCAAAGACCGTCATGGTGGTGTGATCACAATTTTTATGTCCTTGGGGGGGGGGAGAGTGTTCCTCAGGTTGGCAATCAACTCTGATTGCTTAACAATTAATGAAAGAATTAATAACATAATGAGGGGCTGGACCTGAACTTTCATTATGTCACGTGCTTCTTAAATTACCCCCAGCCAGTGAGCAATCTATTCAAATAATTTACCCCACCCACCAGAATAGAACACAATAGCTACTCCATCTGGGTGGGATCTGGATTGAGAAGAAGATTAGCTCAACCTTCAGAGACTGAGGTCTTGAAATGAGGCTCTATGAAAAAGGGGGAAATCAGAATCTCCCCAATTTTAATTGGTTATTAATAATCATTTCTCGCAGATACGGACTGTATGACTCTGGACAAATCATTTAATCTCTCTGAGCCTCAGGACACTCCCTAGACCTCATCCATTTCACAAACTGGTTGTGATTGACTTTGGTGGGATGACTTAGGAATTCTGCAGACTGACAAAGTTACTGAACCTTCCAAGAATTATGAAATGATTTAATTCTTGATAAAACATGAAGCCAAATTAAATGTAAATTACACAGCCCGGTATCCCCTCAATGAACTCAGGCTGACAACAGCTTTGTGCTTGTTCACTGCTGAAAATTATCAGTGTATGTGTGTGCGTGCCAGACAAGGAAAAGAGCTGGTATCTAAACTTGTTGAAAGAGAAGCAGTTTATGAATTAATTTAAGATAAAGGCATAATCCTCTGACTTAGGCAAACAATATGGAAAAACCCAAGGTTTTCAAAATAAAAAAGATCAATTAGGTGATCATTCTTTTTTAACTTTTAAGAAGACTCATTCCTTCATAAGTAAGTCACTATTCTTTTAAATAGCCACCTGTACTTTTGTCCTTTTATGGGATTTCTATTTACTGATCTCTTTCAGGACTTCCTCTCTGCCTATGTGACTCTGGTCAAGTCACTCTGTGGCATTTCAGCTTCCGTTTCCTCACTTGTAAAATGAGCGTGTTATATTTTCAGGAACTGCCTTTCAGGATTGTTTTAAAGAAAATACTTTACAAACCTTAAAACTTTACAGACATGTGAGTTAGTGTTTCTTGCTGTTAAAAATATATCCCTGGTGTAAAATTAGACATAGCAGTAAATGAATCCTGGGAGATCAAATGTTAGTCAATATTGACTGTTTTCCTTTGCCCAAAACACTTTGTAGTTGTTCAGTTCTTTCAGTCATGTCCAATCTCTCTGACCTCATTTGGGGTTTTCTTGGCAAAGAGGCTGGAGTGGTTTGACATTTCCTTCTCCGTTTCATTTTACAACTGAGGAAACTGAGGCAAACGGGGTTAAGTGACTTTCCCAGGGTCACACAACTAGGACGTGGAGTCTTCCTGACTGGCACTCTATCCACTGCACCACCTAGCTGTTGCACCCCAAATTACCAGAAAATAAAGCAATCGTTCAATTAGATGAAGTCAATTGAAATGAGGGTCAGTAAAAAATGAAGGTCAGAAATCAGTTGGCTTAGCCTATTGCTATTACCTAATGCGTCAGTTCTTTGGATGTGTACACCATCCCCTGGAGATCATCAGGGCACTTGAAGGAGGCTCATATACAGAACAAGATGGACGCATCAGTTTGGGACATTTTGGATGTAACCAACCACATGTAGGGTCTGTAAAACTAGGCATTACTTACCAGCTTCTTATAGAAAAACTGCTTTGTTTGGAAGCCTTTGCCGGAGTGTTAACCCACGGACTAACCCTTCTCTTGCTTGATATTTCTTCTGGCTATGGCTTAGTGCAATTCAGCTCCAGGCAACTTTGAGCCTCTGCTTCCTGCCCTGAAGGAGGTTGTAGTCTAGCAGATATTTGCAAAATTTAACTCATATCAGCATTTGTTAAAAGCCGACCAAGCTGGCAACCCTGAGCTAGGCAGGGTTGTCATGCTAATTTCAGCACTGAGAAGAGTCCTGGAATTGAAGCAAGCCAAAATTAGGTGAATTACTCCCCCAGGGGAGAAGCGAACTGTGCCACAACTTCATTGGTCAGCCAAGCAAGTTAGCAATGTATTCTCGTGTCATCCTGGCTGTCAGTCATCTCTGCCCTTCTGACTCTTAAGCACACATCACCCTCCCCATGCTTTCCTAGGCTTTTCTGGGCTTTCCCAAGATCAAGGCACAGGGAGAGTGACCTGCTGCCTGAATGCTTGGAACTGCACCCATGTTAATTTTAAATAGGAAAATTTCCTACAAGTTTGTGTGACCCCCGCCAAAACAAAACAAAACAAAACAAAAAACTTCCAAACTCCCCTCCATTAGATTAAAAACTTTTTGAGAGCAGTGAATACTCAGGGATTTGGGGGAAGAGAGAGAGAGAGAGAGAGAGAGAGAGAGAGAGAGAGAGAGAGAGAGAGAGAGAGAGAGAGAGAGAGAAAGGCAGAGACAGAGAAGAGAGAAACAGAGACCAAGAGAGATTTAGGAGGATCAGGTCCTACAATTTCATAAACATCTAGAAAATTCCAACTGTGGAAATTCCCTCCAACAATGTAAATCACAGAATAGTTACCTAGACATAATTTATTGTCTGAGAGATCTGACACCAAGTGGTTAAGGAAACCCCCTGACATTACACAGCTACTATGTGTCTGAGGCCAGACTTGAAGAGACCAGGACTTCTGATCTTCAAGGCTGGCACTCTATAACAGCTAATGACAAAGATGATGATGATAATAACTAGTAACAATAATAATAATAATAATAATAATAATAATAATAATAATAAATAGCTAGCATTTATATAGTGATTTAAGGTTTACACAGAACTTTTTAATGTTATCTCATTTTATCCTCACAATAACACCTGGAAGGTCATTGCTCTTACTATCACCATTTTATAGATGAGGAGACTGAGGCAGACGTTGGTTAAGTGTTTTGCCCAAAGTCACACAGCTAGTAAATGTCTGAGGCAGGATTTGAATTCTGGTCTTCTTGACTTCAGTTCTCATACCCTAGCCATTGCACCACTTAGCTGCCAATATCAACTATGCCCCATTGTCTTTCACTTAGAAGTCACTTAAGAAATCTCAAGAATCAAAACTTAGAGCTACTTGGGACTTTAAAGGTTTTGCAATCCAATCACTTCATGGCACAGAAGAGGAAAGTGAGATCCAGAGATTTAATAACTTGCCCAAGGATTCACAGGTAAAAAGTAGTGTAAAAGAAATTCAAGCTCATGTCCTCTGATTGCATATCCAGGACTATTTCCACTATACCAAATTGACTAAATATTTGTAAGATAGGATAAGATATGAATAGGATAGGATAGGATGGGATGGGATGGGATGGAATGGGATTGGATGGGATGGGATGGGAATATGATTGGATAGGTTAGGATAGGAATAGGAATAGGAACAGAAATAGGACAGGATAGGATAGGATAGGATAGGATAGAGAGTGGATTGGTACTCAGACCTGACAGGGTAGACTCACTCACAAGTTGTTTCCTCTGTGCTCTCACTATCCATCCACCCAAAAAGAGTTAGACTTGTCCTCCGGCACAACTTACATGACATATATTATTCAAATATAAAAAAGAAATATGTTGTATGTTTCTAAAACTTCTTGGTTATTAAGAAGAATGTCAGAGAGGAAATAACTGGAATATTTCAACTTAATAGCATCTGGAGTGAACTCCTAAGGCTTTATTTGGGAAAATCCATGACCTCTTGGTAAAAGCCGAGTGGTTTCTGTGGATTTCTGATAACAGAATGATCCTGAAAATGATCCACTATCTGTGGCAGTTAAGCCAGTAAGGAAGATTGTGCCTGGTGTGGATAAGCAGAGTCATTTTGAGTCTCTCAGTCAAACCGCTCAAGAGATGAACCGTAAAGGTTGGCTTAACTGGAAATAATTCCGTTTGGAATATTTCTTAGAACAGTATTGTGAGACATGGGAGACACTGGCACTGAATTGTCCAGCATGGCACACTCACATCAAAGAAGGAACTGTCTCTATGGGTGAAGCAGAATTGCAGTAACTCAAAGGACACATGAAACATGCCCACTCCAAACATTCCTGTGAGCTATTCGTGCCTGATCTGTGGTAGAGCCTTCCAGGCTCATACTGGTCTGATCTACCACAGTTGGACACATAGTACCTTGACCCCAACACAGTGGTGTCGTTTTGGTCAAGAAGGAAGGGCAACCACTTACCAACCAATCGTAGAACCTCAGAGTTGGAGGGGATTTCAGAAGGGTCACTTAGCTCAACACACACCTGAATAAAATCCGTATCAATGGCATTCCTGACTAATGAGCATTGATTCTTTGCTTAGAGATATCCAATGAGTGGAGTCCCATGCCTCTTTTCCCCCTGGGATATCTCTAATTACTAAGATGTATGTTCTTATAGCAAACCTAAATTTACATTTTGGACAGTTCTACCCAATGCAACTAGTTCTTCCATCTAGAGCAAAGCAGAGTCTACCTCTTTGAGAATCAGTTTCCTTATTTTTAAAATGAGAAGTTTGGCCCAGATTACCTCAAGAGCATTATGATCCTATATGCTTTAGAAGTCTTAAAGCCCTATGGAAATATCAGCTTATTGGGTGCTCCAAGATGGTGACAACACTAGGTAATCTTTCACATTTATGAAAAATTATATAATAACACATACCACATATAGAAATAATACCTTAAATGGTGGAGAGAGCTATAGATAGATAGATAGATGATAGATAGATAGATAGATAGATAGATAGATAGATAGATCATCTCATTAGAGCTTTATAGCAAGCTTGTAAGATGAGATGCCCACATCATATACCTGGTCAGTAAAAGGAGGATTTGACCCAAGATTTCTGACTCTCAGTCACACATCCCTTCTACTATACCTTGCTATCTCTCTGAAGTCAAAGGACCTGCGTTCAAATTCAATGTCTGACATGTACAACATGTGTGATCTTGAAGAAATCACTCTACTTCCTGAGCCTCAGTTTCCCCATCTGCAATATGAAGCCTCTGAGGTCCCTTTCAACTCCAGAGCTCCAAGCTTAGGATCTCAATTCCATTTTGTTTCTGAGCATGCTCACCCAGCCTGAACTAGAATAACAAATTTCATAAGATAAATTTTCTTTGTGGAAAATTATACTTGACAGGAACTTTACCTTGGAGACATGTTAAATCTTCCTTTGATTGCTTTTAATTATCCAACCTGGGCTTCTGTTTTCAAAATATAAAGTGGGGAAAACGAAGACATTGTCAAGGCAGCCCTGAGCCTGAGGCAAAACATGTTAGTGCCCACTGCTCCATAGCAACTGCTGTGTCTGTGTTCATAAACGTACATGTATTTTTGGTCTACACCTGAGCTTTCACTGGTTCAACATAAAATCCCTTCAAATGAACAAACAATCTTTCATCCACAGAGCCCCAAAAAGTCGGGTGGAGAGGTGAGTGGGCACTCAGACATGAAGTGATTTGCCCAGGGTCTCACACACACAATCTGAATGTGTCAGAGATGAGACAAGGTCGGGGCTGTGTGTCACTCCACGGTCAGTCTCTACGACTCCATGCTGCACATATGTACACGTGTGTATGTATGTACATGTGCAAGTATGTTCAATGGTATATTATCGCATATCTATTGCACACATACATGTATGTATCCAGCACCTAGTGGCATATTAGATAGATCACTGGACCTAGAGTCAGGAAGACTTGCTACAGTCTTCCAATCCAAAGTATGAATCTGTCCTCAGACCCTTCTGATCAGTGTGACCTTAGGCATGTCACTTAATGTCTCTGTGTTCCTCAGCTGTGAAGACTTCTAGTACAGAGGACTTTTCAATCTGTCTGATAGAAAGGTTTGACTACCACCTGTGGAATTATGGCTTCAGACTCTCCCATCTCATTTCTCTACAACTTAGGGAAAGGACCCAGATATGTTTAGCTGGGAAAAGGTTTAGTGGGGAAAAGAATGTGTTGGACAACTGGAGCTGTTCTTCTTAGCAACTGAAGGCAGAATTTGGATGACTGGGGGAGGGGGTTCAGAAGTGGCCAGGCTTCATGTTTGAAGCTTGGAAATTGGAATCAGGGAGGCGTGGCTTCAAACCACATTAATAACACTGTCAGCTAGTCGAGCCTGAGCAAGAAGCACTTGGAGTCTCAGTTTCTTTATCTGTAAAATGGAGATAACACCTGTAGTACCTACCTCATGGGGTTAGTGCTGAGGCTCAGATGAGATAGTGTATATGATTTGCTAACAAATATGAGCTCTTCTTATGTATTTCTGGTTTGAAGACTTCACCTGAAGGAAGAACTTCCTAACCATGAAATCTGCCCTTTAGAGGATGAGAGTGGAAACCTCGCCAGAGGCCACTTGGGATGGCTGTTATACAGAAGGTTAGGTGCCCTTTGGGATTCTGGAATTCAGTGAGGGTAGATTTACTGTGCCTGGTATAAAAACCCTCTGTAACACAGGAGTATATCAGTGAAGTAGCATTATTATGTATTTAACAGGGCTTCTGTTCTCTGAAGGATGGGGCTACCCTGTTTTGTCATGTTAAAGGAGTGAATGGATGAAGGAATGAAGGAAAGAAGGAATAGGAATTTCCTGAGCACTTATTATGTGCCAGGCAGTATGCTAAGTGCTGAGGATACAATGATACCAGAAAGCCCCTGCCCTCAAAAAGCCTCCATTCTAATGGGGAAGATGACACCATCCTTCTGAGGAGCACTCCATCATGTCTTCTCAATGACAATGCTTTGGTCTCTCACATTACTCAACAGAGAAAGATCTTTTTTGTGCTTTGGCATGCCAAGGGAACTGGCTTGTCTGGCACTTATGAAAATCGGGCTAGTCTGATGTGTGACAGTCCACACGAGGCTGTGGTTCACGTGGCTTGGTAAGGTCTCTTGAATTGCTTAAATGCCTCTTAGATTCGTGAGATTTCTGCAGTGCGTAGCGAGAACTCCCAAACTTCCTAAAGCTCCAGTCTTTGAAATCTTGACCTTTTGTAATCATGTTCATGCACTGGGCACTTTGGAGGAAAGATCGCCATGTTCCCACCATCTTTGCACCACTTATTTCCAACATCCTCTTCTGAATAAAAGGGGATTTCAGGGAGATGAGCCCAGAGGGACTTTTGTTTCCTATGATGAGGATTCAGTTTGCTAATACCCTTTTCCCAAATCCCTCCCATATGCCAATTAAGCCAAGAGAAGACTGACCATTGCCTTGTGTATCTTATCCCTCAAAGTGCAATCAGGCCTCAATGACCCAGATTAGGGCCCATAGTTAGAAAGCTTCGTTCCCCAGACAGTCCAAAAGATTTCATTTCACTGAAGGGCAAAGGGTGGGAGCTTTAGAAAGATTGCAGCAGCTGGTCCTGAATGAAGAGGATGGTTTGCAGGAATGGTTTTTCTCTTTCCCATTCTAGTCCACAGGATATGGGATGCTGTGAGAAGGTGGGGAGTCGATACTAAGGCCACCCATGCTGACAGGTTATCATTGGGAAAAATCTCCCTCTAATAAGGAAGAACATCAAGGTATTTCTTGTTCGACTGTGTCAAGGGCTAACATGCTGAAACCCATTATTTTTGTTAAGATACATATTCAGGATACACTTTCAGGACACATTTTCCTAGTTTCATAAGAGACTTTTGAGGTCCCAAGGGCCATATGTTAGTTTCTTCTCAGACGCAGGTCTCTTTAAAAGCTCTCTCTGTAGACATACATCATAGAGAATATAGGGATACAGTCGGGTCCACACTTTCCTCATTGGCAGAGGAGAGAACTTTGGATAATTGTGAATTAGCATGCTACAAACTTGCTAAGTGGGTTTTGACAAGCCTGTCCATCACTGTGCCTCCATTTTCTTCTCAAGGAAAAGGAAATTTTTGTGGCATGAATATCATAGACATTTCCCAAACAAGGATCTGGAAATGCTTGGAAGACAAGAGTTCTTCTACGTTAAAGATGTTTTCATCTCAATTCAATTCAACTAAAAACATGTTTGTTCACATTCTGCTGTGGGCCCAACTTCAGGGGTAGAGACAGAATTAAGTCACAGGCCTTCCTCTCCAGAGGATTATGTTCTCATGGACTTAAGGACAAAGGCAAGAATAATAGGGAAACAAGAGAAGGTGAGACAAGGGTGAAGGATGCAGGGATTCTGAGAGGCAGAAGCAAGAAGGGAGAACATTCCACACACTGGACACAGCCTGGGCAAAGCCACTAAAAAGGGAAATAGATTGTCAAGTACAGTTTGGCTAGAACACAGTCTAAGTGCTTATAATAGTAAATATGTCTAGAAACATGCGGTGGATCCAGATTGTGAAAGACTTTAAATACCAATTAAAGGAGTTTGCATATTATCTCAAAGACAATAGTGAGCCCCTGAAGCTTCTTGAGTAAGAGTAACATGGTTGCAGGATCTAGGAAGATCATTTTGGCAGCTGGAAAGGAGAGAGACAGGAAATTACTTGGGAAGTACTTACAGTACTCTGTTTGGAAGGCCATGAGAGGTTGAAACCAGTATGGTGGTTTATGATTGGAGAGAAGGACACA